CAAAAATGCTTTTGTGTTGCTGTCTTTACAGCTGTATGTAGACTAAAAATGGATGTGCTTCTGTGTTTCCACAGTAATTATTATCTTTCATGCTACCAGTGCAGCAGCACTGACTGCTTCAGACGACATCGTGTGCATTGTGACTCTGCCACACCACAGAGCCAAACACAAACCTTTCTTGATCTCCGTGTCACTCCTCTATGGACCCTGGGCCATCAATTGCAATGCTGCGTGCAAGGAGTCCACTGCCCAGGGTAACCAACCTGGAAGCTGAAAACTAATGAATCTGCCTCTGAGGCTTAATTGTAAGAAAAGTAATTAATCTTGCTAGGTTTCAGTCATGTCAAGCAAACTTTTGCTGATGAAGAAGAAAACTGCTGAGCATTCCAATTCACTCTCCAAGTCAGCCTCTCCCTGTTGGACTTTGTAGGTAATTGGCACATCGTTCCTATCCTATTTTCTACAAATTCCCCAAGAGGCATCCGTGAAAGGAAGGTCTCAATGTCAGTGAGAGAAGAGGGTTTTGCAACTCAGACTTTTGTTCCCTCTCTCAAAGAAGTTCCAAGTTTGCTTAGTGCCCCAATTTTGCCCAGAAGGGAAGGAGGAATGTGCAAAACAGCTGTCAGAAGGTTCCACAGCAGCTGTCTATGAGATCTCCACACAGCCCTGCCACTGAGCCAGTGAAGCAAGCATGAATCCAGCTCACATCCATCCATGGTTTGAGCCTCTGTGACGGTGCAAGAGATGGAGATACACAACACTGGGTGTAATCTTACCCTTCTGGCATCTGTTTTAGTTTGACATCAATTGCTCTCTTGAGCTGTTACATGGGGAGCCTACACTGGCTGGCAGAGACGTGGCCACTGCTCAAGATGCCCTGTGCAAACTCCTCATGAGCTGACAGACTCCCAGAAAAATGCTGAGGAGCTTCCAGGGGGCTGTGAGCGGGAGCAGGACTGGCAGAGGCAGCAGGGTGCCATCGGCCCCAAAGGAGCAGCAGGATCAGAGGCACAAAGGCAGCCCTGCCTCGTCTGGAGCAACACCAGCGGCGCTCTCATCGCTCAGGCTGCCAGTGCTGCCCAGGTTTCTGATGGGAACCTGAGATCTGGTTATTACACTTTATTTGCCTTTCAAAGACCAGAATTTATTCACTTAAATTCTGATTGCTGTGATTCTTTAGGCTTGCTGCAACAGGGGCAAGCAATTCAGTTTCTGGGAAACATGTATGGGTGGTAAATGTATGTGATTTTTGTCAGTCGTGTGAGCAAAAAAAGCTGATAAAATACAAACATTAACATAAAGGGCAAAGAGAAGGATGAGAAAACAGTTAAAGAAATCCATGGGTCAAAAAAGAGACAGAGATGGCTACATTTGTTCTGCTCATAAGAAATATTTTCTCACACAAAGTACTTTACTACTAAAAGGAGCACAAAGGATGAATCCTTATACTTTGATATTGGAATCACTTCTGGAAATGCAGAAGTTCTAACAAAATGTAAAAATGTTCATGTTTTAGACAAATTAAAACATATTTTTAATTACCTAGTTTAATTTACATCTGTACATGATAACAAAATGCAGAGAAGATACTTTATTAAACACACATTAAAATATTGAAACTGAGCAATGGGGCTAGAGTACAAATGTCAAAACACTACCAAAAAGAACCCTCTACCTCAGTATCCTGTGAAATGAGAAGGATGTGATGGTAAAACAAGCCTTTTTCACCTCTATTGGTGATTCGGAATGAGAAGCATTTCCATTCACTGCCACTGAATGCACCAAATCAAGAACATTAAGTTTAGATTTCTTGCTTGTCTCAAAAGCTTTAAGTGGAAGAAACATTCTGCTCCCAAAAGGAGTTGCAAAAGACCTACTTAGTGCATGGAGATTTTCATATCCTAGCAGACTCTAAAAAGGAAAAATAATTTCCAAAAGTTATGTCAGCCCTACACTGCAGATGGGAACGGGTATGAGCCAAAGGCACAGCAGAGGCCCACAACAGCTGGAGCAAAAACTGGTGGCAGCCAGGGCTATGCTGTCCTGCAGCCTTGGAGCTCCTGTCTGCAGGCAGGGCAGAGGGAAAAGTGCAGCAGAAGCAGAAAATTACCTGTGGCCCAAGCTATAGTATCTAGCAATGAAACAATGTTTTAGCCGTTTTTTTCCTTTTTAAATATCTACAGTTTATTTTAGAATAACTGTAATCAACAAAATCTGAGGCAAAGTACAGCTGTTATCGCTCCTTGCACCACCTCTTCCAACTGTGGGGGGAATTAGATGAAACTCAGCATAAGTGAAACAAGTTCAACCTTTTTGAGAAAACAAGACTCGAGATGAACTGAACTAAATGGCACACCAATGCCATGTCATGCAGTGCACCTGGCAGCAGTGTCCTGCCGGGCCAGCTGCAAAAATGAACCGGCTTTGGAGCTTCAAATCTTGTTATGTAGTGCCATCTTGAGGCCTTGGGAAATGAAAAGCAGCTTTTCTGAGTACAGACAGTTTTTACCTGGCTGTAGTTGGAGCAGTCCATTCTTCAGGGTGTATGGTTGAGTGCATTCAGCTGGATTGGTGAACAGAAGACAGGGATGGGCTCACCCGGCTGGAGCACCACTGGCTCTTTCCCTGCTCTCTGGTGGCACAGCTCTTTGAAACACCTTTCCCAGAAACATTTCACCTATCCATTGGTGAAAATGGAGGTGCATTTGATACCCCCAGCGACAGACATCACACTGGCGCTGCAGATGAGATTGAGGACCACAGCACATGGCTGCTCCTCTTTGGCAAGGCACAAACACATAGCTGCTCCTCTGCCCTGTGCTGCCAACTGCTGTCCCTCCTGAGAGCTGGCATTGCAGGGAGCGGGTGCCATGTGTGCAAAGCCCCACCTTGCCCCCAGCTACTCTAAACATAGTTGTTTGAGAGCTTAGCTGCCTGGTGGCCACACCTCTGCCACCTCCATCACCGGCGGGGGCAGTGGCTCAGTGCTGGGGTTTTCCATGGGGATATTGTGTCATGATGGAGCAGCAGTCACCCTATGCCTGGTATTGGGCTGCAAGGGCTGGCCACAGGGCCAGAGAGGGCAGACATCAGGATGGGAGTCATGGGCTGGAGTAAAAACAAGGCAGCAGAGGGAAGTCTAGAGGAATAACCTGAAGGACCACATGGGGAGGGCACAGCAGGGGCACCGGGAAGCCGAGGTGCATCGAGGGGCAGCATGGCCTGGCTATGGCACCTCACCTGCCATATGGTGCCTGCAAAGGGAAGAGGTGCTTGGGTCTTGGAGTGACACTGGGGGGCTGAGGAAGGGGGTCTGGGCAGCAGCTCTGGCAATGGGGCACACAGGGAGGGGGTGCCCAGGGAGAGATACCCCTGCAGAGCTGGGGGTAGCAGGTCCCCCATGGCACCAATGTGTTTGTGGCGACATGCCTGGTCCTTTGATACCATCTCCTATGGCATACTCCTGGAAGAGCTGGCAGCCCATGGTGGGGACAGGTGCACTCCTCACTGGGCTGACAACTGGCTGGATGGGTGGACCCAGAGTGTGGCAGTGAACAGTGCTGCATCCAGCCGGGATCCAGTCACCAGGGGTGTCCCCCAAGGATAGCATAGGGCCCAGTTCGATTCAATATCCCTACTGATGATCTGGGTGAGGGCTTGAGTCTACCATCAGCAAATTAGCAGACAACACCAAGCTGGGTGGGAGTGCTGATCTGCTGAAGCGCTGGAAGGCCATGCACAGTAATCTGGGCAGGGTGGATCAATGGTGGCAATGGTGGATCATTGGTGGTACCAATGGAGGCAGACAAGTGGCACGAGGTTCAAGAAGACCAAGTGCCAGGTCCTGCACTTGTGTCACAACAAACCCATGCAGCTCTGTGCGCTGTGGCAGAGCGGCTGGAAAGCAGCTCCGCAGAAAAGTCCCTGGGGCACTGGTCAACAGCTGCTGAGCATGAGCCAGTGTCCCCAGGTGGCCCTAGAGGCCAGTGGCATCCTGACCTGTATCCGGAATTGTGTGGCCAGCAGGACCAGGACACTGATTTTCTCCCTGTACTTGGCATGGATAAGGCCACTCCTTGAATGCTGTGTCCAGTTCTGGGCCCTTCCATTCAGGACAGGCTTTGAGGCGCTGGGATGTGTCCAGAGAAGGGCAGTGGAGCTGGTGAAGAGGCTGGAGCACAAGTCCCGTGAGGAGTGGCTGAGGGAGGGAGGTCTAGCCTGGGGAAAAGGAGGCTCTGCGGGACCTTGTCACTCAGGAACAGCCTGAACAGAGGGTGCAGCCACACGAGGGTCGGTTTCTTTGCCAAGCAACCAGCAACAGGACAAGAGGACACGGTCATAAGCTGAGCCTGGGGAGGTTTAGGTTGGCCATCAGGGAGCAGTTCCCCACAGAGGGTGATTAGACATTGGAATGGGCTGCTCAGTGAGGCGGTGGAGTCACCGTTCCCGGAGGTGATTAGGGAACTTGAACATTTAGTGCCATGATCTGGCTGGCATGGTGGCGTTCAGTCACAGGTGACGATCGCACAGGTCTTTCCCAGCCCAGCGCATTCGGTAACGCCGCGATGAAGCCGAGGCCTCCGCCGCCCCTCGGCCGCTTCCGTGAGCGCTCGCGAGTTTCCGGCCGCCTCGGCCGCGCGCACGGCGGGGCGGGGGGAGCGGGGGGGGGGGGGGGGGGGGGGAGCGCGCGCTCCCCCTCCCCCCCTGCAGCCCCGCTCGGTGCTTCCCGCGCGGGCCGCCCCGGGGCGGAAGCGCCTCTCGCGCCTTCCCGCCGCCCGCTCGGCTCTTTCCGCCTCCCCCTCCGGGGCGCTTCGTTCGTTTCCGCGGCCGCTCGGCTCTTTCCGCGGGGGCCGGCGGCGCGCTCGGCCGTTCCCGCCGCCTGGCGGGCGCTCGGCGCTTTCCGTGAGCGCTCGGCGTTTTCCGTGCGGGGCCGGGCGCGCTCGGCGCTTGCTCCCTGGCTGGCGCTCCTCAGTCGGCCGCTGCCTGCCTGTCGCCGGGCTGGGAGCGCCTGTGTGTGTGAGTGACGCGGCGGAGGTGTAGTTTGACGCGGTGTGTTACGTGGGGGAGAGAATAAAACTGCGGCGAGATCCCAGGCGCGAACGAAAGCAGTGACGGAGCAGCCTGGTAACCGGTAAGAGGAGGACGGCGCCCAGCAAACAGGGGCGGGGGGGAGGGAAGGAAATGGAGCCCGGCGGGGACCAGGGGAGCCGCCGGGCGGCAGGACGCGGGGGCCCGGCCGCGCACCGCCCGCGGGAGGGGCGCCCGCCTTAAAGATGGAGCCGAGCCCTGCAACATCCCCGCCGCCGCCGCGCCGCGAACAAAGGATAATGGCGGATGGGAGCCGGCCCGGCGGCGCCGCGGCCCCCCGCGCCCGCCGGAGTTCCGCTTCCCCGGCGCCCCGAGCGCGCCGTACGGATAAACAAACAGACTCCCGCCGTGATGGACACGAGTGCGTGGGGCGCTCCCCGGCTCCGTAACGAGAAGCTTTTAATAAAATCTGTGCTCGGAAGCCGGGGCAGCGCTTGGTCCGGCGGTTCGCTGTCGCTCCGTCTCCGGGAGGCCGCGCCGGGCGGAGGTGCCGGTCACCCAACACCGCGCTCCGGGCGGGACCCGCGGGCGCAGCCCGAGCCCGGCGGCAGGTCACGTAACAGGGATACGGTTCCCTCTTGCCGCCCTGCTTCTCCCCGGTAGTATTTTTAACCCAAAGTGAACTTGAGCCAGGCTGCGGCTGGTAAATCTCGGTTTGGGATTTGCTTTTGCCAGTTTTCCACAGACTTGGGTGCTGCACAGCGAGAGGATTTGACCTCTATCCCAGCTTTAATAGCAAATGTCAGCTCACATGCTTTTTTCCACCTTACACCAGCCTTGCCTTGCTGCAGCTGGGGGCTTTTTTCCCTCTTTTCTTGCCTAGAATAGAAGACAGTGTTTTGACTTTGTTCTACTTTCAAATCCTGGATATCTGCAATTTTTTGTTACAGTAGTAAGCAAAAACAACGTGGCAGACTTAAAAAACTTTTTAAGCAAAGATTGTTACACCTCTTAAATGTATACAGGGATAAAAAGTTTTAAATGAGCATATGATTTTTTTTCATGAAACACTTCTAAAATTTTTGTTTCTTTCTCTTAAATATTGGAATGCCGGCTCACAATCTGCTTCTGGAATAACACCTGGGATTTTGGTTTTTTTTTCCCCCTCCCTGGGATTAGAAACATGTTTCCTATTTCTTAAATAAAAGACTAGAGACTTCTTAGAAATATCATGTATCTCTGTTTAGTCCCATGCTGACCACCACTAAACATGATTTTAGAATACAGGAATTTTGAGACTCTGCTTGCCTCCTTTCTTCCTTGTATCAACAAATGTGGATTTATACAGTAAAATACGAAGTCACTGAAATAGGTTTTGTTCAAAATGGATATTTGTAATTCACATGTATACTTCCTTGTATGTCAATTTCTGTTTTCTGTCACTTCCACTGCTTCCTTTGAAATGAAGGCCAGAGATGCTCTACATAACTTCACTGTGTAATATCAACATGAGAAGGGGGTTTTTAAACTTTAAAGGGATTAATAGACATCTGAGGACTTCAGTAAGCAATGTAGCTGTTGATAGTGATTAAAGAGAGTGTAATTGCTGGTGTATTTCATTCATTCTTGGTTTGATGGAATACGCACTACACTGTAAATACAAAAATGGGACAGAAAATCCTTGCTTGTTGTTTTTTGTAGCTTTAGAAAAACAATTCATTTTATTCTGTTTCGTAGTAGAGAGGAAGACTCTGAAATCCATGTTTTCAAACACAGGTCTCTGCATTTCCTCACCAGCTTTGTCCCCTCACAGGTCAGGGAGAAAAGGGAATGGAGAGGTGGTTGTGTATTTGCTAAGCATCACTTACATGTGACCTAAAGTGAAATTGTTGCATGTAGTAAAGAACAGTGTAATCATCTTTAGTGCTTTAATTGAGAGAACACCACTATGCAGATTGGCGCTCTCAATATGGTGTTTGGATCTGCACTGAACAGTCTGCATCTAATTTTTTTTTTTTTTCTCATAGATTTGGTGATATGTGTGTCTGCTTCTCTGGGTAAAAAAAGTAAAGAACTAGTCAAACAAACAAAAAAAACCCAACACATAAAACAGCCCAAAGGTCTAAAAGGGGAGAGGGGTTTGCTGATACAGAAAATTTAGAAACATCTCATTTAGACTGTCAAGTCATCAGTCTGGCTGTTTCTTGGAAACCTGCACCAGCACAGCTCTTGCTGTACAAAATCTTCTGTAGATGTTACTCTGCAGAGCAGCTGTTCTGCTGCAGTGAGAAGCAGCTCCTCTTGCCTAAGTGCAGCTACAGCTCTGTAGGTGCATATTTTGATAGGAGACAAGGCCCCAACTGGGAATTTCTGTTGGCACCGTTTTGAAACAAATGGGATATTCACACTTCACCTCTATTTTTGGATCTCTGGAAGCAAGTGGAGATCAGTTACTCATGCCACACCTCTCAAGGCTTTTGTGCAGTGAGAAGGCCGTGTTAGCTCTCTGTCACTAATCTAACTAAAGTTAGTTTTGTGGGACATGACAGCAATCCTCAGCACAGAAACAACCCTACCCAATTTCCTTTGAGTTCTCTGGTACCTACCTGCATACAGCTGAAGTTCATGACAAGGCAGTGATTTATTTTTTTTTTTTACTGAATCAAAAATTGTGTTGCCTCATCTGCAGTCTGAGATCATATTTCATAGTGATTATGAAAACCTGAGCACCCTGCCATTAATGATCTATGTACATCTCCCAACATGAAGGCATTGATACCTATTTTGTTCTTCAAAGCTTTTAGATCACTTGAATGTACTGCAGTTAAAAAAGGTGAGTGAGAACGATTACAACACGTTCCAGCTTTCCATATTTCTGAAACAGCCTTGTCAGCTGCACAGGAGGTGAAAATGTGCCAGGCTCTAGTTGGCCTTTCAGGTAAAAAGAGCACTCAAAAACAGCCAAGAATTCTCTGCTGCTGTTTTTGTCTGGCAATGCTGGATTTATAGTATTATGTGTCAAGTGGAAAGAATAGAAAATTCAGTGTTGGAAGAGGCACTTTAAGGTGAGAGGATAAAGAATTTGGAGGAAGCCTGTTCCTGTTTGGATGCATATATATGTTTACCTGACATGTACATACACCCAAGTTTATAAAGCAGCACTGCTACTTATTAGTTACTTGCAGTGTTTTTTGAGTAGAGTGCAGGGAGGTACAGGATATTATCCTAAGATAATAAGCATTCCTATTTTTGTTCTAAGAATATTGTAAGAGTTGATATTTTGTAAAAAAAAAAAAAAAGACCATTAGGTGAAAAATGGAAAAATAGTTCTGAAGAGAATCCTGCCAATTGCTGTTCTGGATTTTGTTACTTTTCAGTTGTTCTCTGATAGACTACACTGGCTACTGGAGACACAGTTGCAGGAAGCCTTACAGTGAACTGTTTGGAACCTACCTTGGTTCAGGAAACTGAAATAAAAATCTCTGTCCTTGATGCTTTCACGCTTTTTGGAGGGGAGAGTTAAAGTGATTTGTAAAAATCTCTGATCTTCTAAGTGTTCAGTGACAGTCTGTTTAGTCATTGAGGTTATCAGGAAAACTCCTTTTCCCTGCACATGGCAGAACTAAAGCTCGGTTGTCTTCTTTAGGCAGAAACTTCTTCAGATGGATTTCTAAACTCACAAAAGAGCAGGTAGCCTAAGAAATCTGGGAATTCTTGAAGCTTATCTCCTGGCTGATAAACTGAAACCACAGTTCCTCATAGCATTTTTTGGCAGTAATACTGGCCAGAGCATCTTCCATGTCTTTTCCATTGCACTTGCACAAATGCTGGGGCTGCTGCATGGGGAAATGGTTCAGCTGTTTGAGAGGTGTGGAGCCTGGTTCATTTTCACCTGGATCATTCCCTGCCCTGATTGCTGCATGGCTGCACAGGAGCTGTACCAGCATAGTCAGGGGAAGGGATGGGGCTGGAATGAGCAGGGAGATAAGGGCAGCTCAATCAGCTCTGCTGCTAAATGAGACAGTGCAGCCTATGTAAAAATTTTTAAATTATTGCTGTGTTTATAACTAAGCTGGATGACACAGATCCTGCTGGGGTTCTTCTTGCCACAGAGCTGGATCATTCAGCTAAGTCTAAGTTCTTACATGTGCTAACCACGAGCCAATGAACATGAGTAACAGCTGTTCCCAAACTTCACTATAATGTATTAAACTGATTTGTTGTGCTGCTTATTTACTTGTCTCAAACACCTTTTGTGTGTGTGTTTTAGCAAGTTTCTGTGCACTTCCTCTGCTTCCTTTTTTCAATTCACATTTTAAGTTCACCTGTTGCTATTCACTGCAGCTCTTTGCTGCAATATTTTAGTCATCTCTTCAGAAACTCTGCAACCTCCTGTGACATTTTGGGTCCAATATTACGTGCACTTTTCTTATAGGTGCTGCCTTAAATCTCTCATTCTCTATGCTGTTCCAGTATCAATTGGATTTCACTTCCCCTTGCACCTTTCATTGGGCTTGAATGTCAAAATCTCTTCTCATCTGTAAAATCTCTCTCATCATCTTTTATACCCCATTAAATAATGGATGGGAAGCATTATTTTCTTGCCTTTTTTTTCTGATGACACAGCATCTGGCTGTGTGTAGCTGGCCTGGCCTCAGAATGCACTGGTGCCTGCCCACTGCTCCAATTAGCCTACAATATGAGCAGGATTTGTAAATTTACACCTTTCTGGATTGTAGAGAGCTTTCTTTCTCTTGAGGAAAAAAAAAAAAGCCTAGGGCATTACTGTAGGTGTAGAACCCCTGCCCTCTGTGAAACTCATCCAAATTTTCCTTTTGTGCTGATAGGAAAATTCTGAGAGATAAAAAGGAAGGGAAGGTGTGAGAAAGGGTACTGTGTACTAATGCCACAGTATAACCAACAAAAGTAATCTGTTGCTGTGGTTTTGGCTGAGCTGATACAGCTGCATGTGGCTCTCAGGAGACAGTCTTGCTGTCTCCCTCCTGCTCCTGGCTCTGTGGTGTTGGACCATCCCTTTACATTGTCTGTAGTGTTGATTGTATACAAAACCTAATAACCCAGTTCAAATCACTAACCCAGGAG